AACTTCATTTGTAAGTTTATGTTTTAATCTAGGGCTTCGATTCTATTTTTCTCTTGATGTTGGAAAGCAAGTTTATCAAAGATACTTTTAAAAGTTATACTAAACAAATAATTCAATCATTTAGATCTTAAACAAGTTTTGATAATTCATCAATTCAATAGTCAGTTAAGCTACAACTAATCTGTCTGGATTTCTTTTTAGCTTAATTGATTTTAGTCTTAATTTGCCTGCCGTCATAGAATAACCTCTCAGAATCTAGACGGATGGTTGTTTTGGGTTGAGACAATGAATTTGGTTTTTTTTCCTCTGTCTGTATTTTCTAATTAGATTATTTTCTATCAGGGAACTATTTATATGTAATTACTTCACTGATTTAACAGAATTTTTACTATTTTTATTGTGTTTAGAGATTTTGATCCCTGTTTTTTTGCTCGCCAGAGTGTTGAATCATCTTCCTTTTCCAAGTGGTGTGTCTGCATCTTACTAAGGAGCATGCGGTGGATACTCCTTGCCGCCCATACCTCGTGGTTTTTCTGTTCTACTTCTGCTCCGTCCGAGCAGCCGCCGAAATCCCTGCTACCTGCTGTCCAACAGCCTGTTTCAACTGTCAGGCAAATCATACCCCTTCCAAACAACTTCAATCACCCATATTTTCATTCCGTTTCCCTTCCACAACTATCTCCTCTAAAGATCGGCTTGCGCAATACCTTCTAAAATGGTGTCAATACGCACTAAAATGGTGTCAATATGAACACGAAGCAAAGAACTGTGAGCGCCAAGAAGTTTAGAGGTAGAAGTATCACTATAATGAAAATTAAGAGTTCATAATCTCAAACCAAAACAGTTGAACATTACATTATCTTGATTAGAAGCTCATTCCTAGAGCAACAAAATCTTGCATCAAATCAACAAAGCCAAATGGAATTTCTAAACTTGCAGAACAAACCCAAAAAAAGCTTAAACTAGAATAGTTGAAGAAGAGCAAATCAAACTACGAAAAAGTTGGACAGATCAGCAAAGTAGACAGCTGGAAAAAAAAGCCCAAGATAATAATGAGGACATATTGAAGTTGAAAGAAACAGCTGAGCGTATATATACTAAGCAAAGAACTGATGAGAGTTATGGTATCCAGTGGCAAAATATACTTACTAAAATACTTGAAATACAAATTCAGAGAAATAAGAAATTTTGCTAAAAGTGAAAATGGTGTTGTATCCCGTGTGGAACAATATCCTGCAATTGCAAGATTTATCGTGATCGTACAGAATTGCGGAATCCTACTCGGAACTATAGCAAGATCCACGATTTCACAGAATCCCATAGAACCAGCTCCCGCATCATTCTCCCGGGCTATAAGAGACTTCTTTTGAACCTCTGTAAACTTCTGGAATCAATCTAACACCATAACAAAATCATTTCGTTGTTACTGCTGGGGGAGCTCTGGCACAAACTCTATGCTCATGTCCACCCAAGACAACTTTGAAACATGTCCTTCCAAAGTCTTCCTGATAGAATAGTTGTCATCTTTTTTTTTTTACATAACTAGAATTAGACCTGCACAAAAATGAGTAATCACACAAACCAAGTTTCGAGCAATTAAATCTATAACCTACTTCTCCCGCTCATATTTGGCAGGACATAGCCGATAAACAAGTTTTTCTTAAGGAACTGACCCTAGAATGAAATCTATGACCTGTTGGACCACTGTCAATGATAGCCACCTTAGGGGTAAATTGTCAGTAAGGAAATCCAGCGACCCCCTTAACAACGGTTGCTCTTTTTCTACTATCATCTTCTCGAATTCACAACCTTTTAGTATAACCAATGCTACTTTTGTTGGAGTCTCTCTCGTAGGCTTAGCTTGAATCTCCAACATTTCTCTCTTATTGGTTGCAAGTTGATACTCTTCATTAACATCTTCATTCTCTTCTATGTCACTGTCCATTTCTTCAACTACTCCCTGCTCAATAAAAAAAATCACCTTCCTGTTGAGAGATAAAACACAATGTGGCCAAAAACGTGGCATTTAAAGCACTTCGAATGCCGGCGATCTCCAACTTTTCTCTACTCTGTACGGGTTTCTCCTTGGGTATCTCTTGTTGCATCATATAGAGTCAAGCTATGTCTGTAAAGTGTCGCGGTCACCAGTTAACATTATTTTTTCACCTTCAAAGCCAGAGTTTGTACATCGAGTAGAAATAAATATGGTTGTAGTTGTGCCACATTATTGATGGCTAGTTTCTGTCCCGTAAGATATCTTGGCACATTTGTTCTTTTGTTTCCATCAACCCACATTTCATTATGATCAAAGTCAGTTGTGTAATCCTCCACTGAGGAGTTTCTTTGGCTCACAGTGTAGAGTTTTATGAACATGCCATGTTGGTAATGAAGGGAAAGATAGTTTCGCTACATATCCCTTTTCTTCTTTAGACTAGGTGATATTCTTACTCTTCTTCCCTTCTCATTGCAGAATATGCTTCAAGTTCTCCCACCACGAAAAAGTATTTTTCCTTAACTTGGCTTGCTTGACTCTTGTGTCAGATGGAACGCCTTTGTACTCAAAGACTCATTCCACTATCTGAAGTTACTCGATGAACTCGTTCAGATCCATGCGACCGTCAAATTCCAGCAAGTCAATCTTCACTCCAAATTCCTAACATCTCCTCTGATGACCCATTCCAAATTGTCAGGGCATTGGTTCTTCGTCATTAGAAACTTCCTAGTGAAGAAGATTCACTTCATACTCTCGATTTGTTGAATCGCTACTGTGACTATAGGTGACCTCATCAAGCTCTATCCTCTCAAAGGCAGCTAACCTCTGTTATAGATAGACGATTCCTCATTGCATATCCTCCAAGGTGATATTTTGGACACCTTGTTGAAAGTTCACCCTTCATGGCATTGTGTCAATTTCTCCCAATCAGAAGTTTGACAGATATAAGATTGCAATAAAAGGTTGGCTTTTGAAAATTTAGGATTAGGGCTAAGAATTATGATAGGAAGGGTTAGGGTGTGGTGGATGATTGGGGGCCTTTTTTTTTGACATATTAGTTTAGATTGTGTTAAAATTTGGTTTGGGATCAAAAGGAAGACAAATACCTAATTTTAGGATTTGGTAGGCTCTGTACCAGATCACACCATTTTAGGACACCTAGAAGGTGTTGAGGAAGCAGATTTTACGGGGAGAGAGTTGTGGAATGGTAAAGGAATGAAAATATGGACAGGGTCAAAGATGTTTGGAAGGGGTACCATGCGCTCGGTGACGAAAAATCGATTGTTGGACATTTGGTGGCAGCAATTTCAGTCAGTGAAACGAGGAGGATGATCCACTACTAGTTCATAGGCGAGATACAGACACACTACCGACAAAAGAAAGATAACAAAAATACTTCGGAGATAATAAAAGATAAACAAAGCCTCTAAAAACAACAATAATAATAATAAAAAAAGTCTACTAATAAAAAAATAACACATAAATAGTTCCCTAATAACAAATAACATAATTAAAAAATATAAAAATAAAAAGAAAAAAAAAAGAAATTTTGCTAAAAGCGTAAAGAAGACTGTATCTCGTGTGAAACATCATCCTGCAATTGTTAGATTTACCATGATCTCGATGAATTGCAAAAACCTGTTCGGGACTATAGCAGGATTAGCAATTTGGCAAAATCCCACAGATGCAGTCCCCACATCACATATGATTGGTTGTTGCATAAATGCTTAAATAAACTAAATATTATATTGGGCTACTTTTTTGCAGCTTTGTCTAATTAGCAGGTTTTTCCATAATGAAGCATACAACAACAACAACAAAGCCTTAATCCCACTATGTGTGGTCGGCTACATGAATCCTTTTTCTCCATTGCGTCCTATTTAGTGTCATATTTTCATTTAGTTCTAATAAATTAAGATCAATTTTTATACAATAAGCCCAAGTCTTCCTAGGTCTACCGCCGCCTTTGTTAAAATTAGTCAAATCCAAAACATCTACTCTCCTAATCGGATCATCAGATGGTCAATGCTTAATGTGACCAAACCATCTAAGACGACATTCTCTAATTTTGTCCGTCAAAGGAGCTACACCAACCCTATCACAGATATAATCATTTCGCATTGTCTCCAAGTGTAAATCCACTCATCCACCTAATCATTGTCATCTCGACAACACTTAACATAATATTATGTTTCTCTTTTAAAGGCCAATATTCAACGCCATAGAGCATTGTAGGTCTCACTGCCGTCTTATAAAATTTTTCTTTCAATCTAAGTGATACATTTCTATAACACAAAAGGCCCGAAGCATTCCTCCACTTCAACCAACCAACTTGAATTCTACTATTAACATCCCCATCTATATCACCATCACTTTCAACAACAAACTTGATATTTTTAAATCGTTCACACCTTTTAAAAATTTGATCACCCAAAGTTACACTTCTGTCACTAGAGCTACTACTACTAAAATTACATTCCATGTATTCAGTTTTAGTTCTATTTAAATAAATTAATTAATTTATAGTATGCAATTGCATTTTTATATTGTATTTTTGAATGATCTAGTCTATACTCCATTTGGCCTTTCATGTAGATGTTGTGTTTAATTGAGTAGTAATTTGTTATTGTAATTAAAAAAGTAACCTTTTTTACAAGTGTAACTGCTTAAATTTAGTATCGTTTGAGCCAAACACAAACCTAAATCTAACCAAAATACAAACACAAGGTTTTTAAACAAAATCAAATATAACCTTAAGCTTGAACAAAGCAAAGATTCGTACAAGCAAAGTTCAAACATGGGCTGATGGGCCACCGCTTGCTCAAGCCAAGCTTACCCCCTACTTACAACAGAAACACAAGTCCAAAAATTAACCCTTACAACAGAAACACGAGTCCAAAACATGAACAGTGAAATCAAGATTGCATCTCAAAGTAAATATAACAAGAATCTACAACTCATAAAAAAAATAATATATGCATCTAACTGGTCCTAAGGAATTCTTTACCTGTATACTAACTAAATGTTGGCGATGTTCAGCAAGGGTTGCTGCTAAGGACTCAGCATGTCCACCGGTACCATCATCAAATGTACTGCGAAGTAGCTCTGGGCCCTCTCCATCATTAGCTTTGGCCTACAAAACAAAAACCTGTCACTGATCGGCACAATGAATCACTGTATGGAAAAAGCAATAGCCACTGCACCAATATCGCATGACTTTCTCCTGTTGGTATATGCAGTTGCAAAAAGAAAATAAAAAGTAAATAAATAGATAAAATAAAATAAATGGAAAAAAAACTCTGACAAGAAGTTATAGAAACATGTAGCAACAGAAATCACACATCACAAAAGAAATATAAACCATTTAAGAATGGAAGCAGGAAAGAGGTGAGATTACAAAAACTTCTGAAAACTAGCCATCCTATCTATAAATGTGTAAATAGAAATCCTTACCCAGAAGAGAACACAACACATCCGATGATATGTTTTGTTGCCAATTAATGGAAGTTGCACTTCATGGTTCAAAAAGAAATGGAAGTTCGGTTTGTAGGAAAGCTTACTTTTCATATTTGGTTGTGGAAGAAGAGTAACTGTTTGATAATGCTAGTAAAATGAATCCCTTTTATACACATGTTGATAGAGTGTCAATCAGAGGACTGATGGTAAAGGGCTTTGAAGTCGCTTTGTGTGCAAAGTGCGAAGGGTTGGGTGCTATGTATTAATCGATCAAGAAATAATTAAATGAGGGTTATGGATCTTGGCGTAAATTACCTAAAAAAAGACCCAATAGCCTGAGAGAGGGCATCTTACCAACTATAAAGAAATTCATCATTGGATGAATTTTCAAAGAGAAAATAGATTGCATTCATTAAACAATGACTACAAGCGCTATTTAAAGAATTTGCTTGGCCTATCTATTATTTAATAGCCTTTCACGCTTGATGCCAAATAAATCCTAAAAGAATAGAAGGCAAGAAATTTCCTTCATAAATAAAAATAAGACTACATATGACAAAAATATTCCAATCATGGAAATAACCTCCTTGAAATGTAATGATGAAACTTTCCCTATTACTTTTATTCTATCAAACTACCAACTTATATTATCTACACATTCAAGCTAATATTGTTGATCTTGATCAATGAGATAAAAATCACTCAAACATCTAAAATCATCGTTTTCTTAGTAAATAATCATTTATCAAGCATAATAGAAAACAAGAACAATGAGATGCCATATTGAAGGGTAGTTAATTATTTCATTCATGTATTTCTAAATCATTTATAACTATCATTAATAACCCATGAATTTGAAAGTTATGCCATTTTAAAATATTCACTGTCCAAAATAAAATATTAGAAACCATCCACTAAAAAAACATCATCTCATTGATAGATGAATGATTTTAAAAGTTATTAAAATCATTGCACTAATTAAGAAGTGATATACCGATCTTACATTTAAGGGTAATATAAATGAAATCTGAATAGCTTAGAATAAATACTCCCCTCATAATAGTGAAAAGGTCACATGCATGCATAACTTTTTTTCCCTAACAAAATATGCCTTCCCTCCAATCCAGATTTCAAAGTTAATCTTCAAGTGTAAAATCCAAACAATTATTTATTTTCCCGTCATTTGAAGTAGTGGCAATCAAATACTATTTTAATAACATTTAAGATCATTTAACTATAAATCAGTTAAATCAAAATATTCTTAACAGAACGTTTAAATTGCATTAGAAAATATTGTGACTTTTACCGTGTAATAAATTTCCAGAGCTCGGAATAAAATATATGGGCTTTTTATTATATTTAGAGTGTGATTGAGGTATTGATTGGACAAATGCATAAATAAAACTAGTTTTTTAAGCCGGATCTCTCTCTCTCTCTCTCTCTCTCTCTCTCTCTATCTAATTTGCATTACAAAAACTACTAAATGGAATTCTAGAAAAATATATCATCAGAGGATTTTGTTAAAATAATTAAATAAATGCTATAAATTTTACTAAAAACTTAGCATACTATCAACTAATATATATCACATACAATACAAAACGAACTTAAAGGGTGAATAACTAAAGTGACATTTGGAATCACTCTTAATTATTTATTTTTTTCTACTTTCTTTATTTTCTAGCAAGAAAAAAATGCCTTGCACTTCTATGTTTTTCTTATTCTTTAAGAAAAAAAAATGAATTTTAATTATAAGCAACCACAATCAACCTAGCGTACAATCAACCACAAGCAACCACAATCATCCAGAAGGCCACAATCATCATTCAATCAACCTAGCGTACATCGTGTTCATCACATAGTAAACATTCATCATCCTTCTCCCCTTTCATAATCTTGGTCAGCCCTTTTAAGGATCAATAGATTCACAGCACACTCCTACAATCTCAAATCCTAACCACACTCAAATCAATACAATAAGTATATGAGCAGGAATCAAAGATGAATAGAGGAGAAAGAAGCTGACTTTAAATGCTTTACGCTCAATGGCTGCTTGGAAACATTTGATCACTCTCTTCCACTCCACTTCTGATTTAACCGCACTCCTACATGAGTGACCCATGTAAAAATCCTAGTAAGATGAATATCCACAATTGATTCCATAATCATGAAAATAGCAAAATGGAAATGAAAATTTACTAGGTAAGCACTAATAGTGTTGTGAAAGATGATACTACTCCACATTATGTATCACCGACACCTCTAGAAATGCATCATACCCATGTGGACACGCGTTGGACACGAACACGAGTCTGACACACCATGACACATATTCGACACTACAAAATATATCTCTGGATTTTTCAGACGAACATGTTTGAAACACACCTTGAAATTGCATTGGATACTTGCTCGACACGGTTTTAGGAAAAAACAAACAAGTGAAATTAAACATTTTAAATATGTGTAAAGCCCTAAATATAACTGTTAATCTCGTTTTTGGTGACACTTCTCACCACTTTCCTCATCTAGACCAAGATTTCCTTCATAGTGCCCTTAGGTGGTTGATCTTGGCCTGACAAAGGGCTTAGATTAACTTAGCTGGATTCGAGATTGGCTTAAATTAAAACTAGAACTAAATATAATTCAAACTTAAATCAAATTAAACAAACCAAAATTAAAATTTAAAATTGAAATAAATTAAATTTAACATAAAAAGACCCAAATGTATCGTGCTCTCTCCAGCTACCGTCACTATGCTTGAAAGAGCATACCACAAGTTTGACGATGTTTTGACATCATTTTTAGTTGAATTTGTGAGCCTCAAGTTTTCATGCATGAAATTCTATAACGTAAAAAGTTTTCTTCGAAGCGTCATTCCACGAAACGGGTAATGCGAGTGCTTCCGGATCATCGACACCGATCAAATGAGCCTGTTTGCACCCAAATCAAATTTTATTTAGGGGCGCATCAGAGCCACGGTGATTTAGAAAATAATAATAATAATAATTGATATATCAATATTAAAAGAAAATGAATTTAAAATCTTATCACTTGAATCAATATCTAAATTAAAACACAAAATTAACTTAAACAAAACACAAATTTAAATTAACCTAAAATTACAAATCTTAACATAAAGTTATATCACCAATGAAAACAAAGTTACACTTAAATTAAATCACAATTTAATTAAAATACTTAAGTTAAACGAAACAAACAAATATAATTAAAATATTAAATCAAACAAATTAAATTTAAACTTAGAAATTGAATCATAACCTAACATAAATATTAAAACTAAAATTAAAAATAATTCAAACTCAAATCAAAGTCACAATATAAATATAACTAAATTTAAAATAAACAAGAAGCTTAACCAAAACAAAAAACATTAATCGAAATTAAAATCAACAAATCATTAAATTAAAGAAAATTTTTCAAAAATACCACTTTCTCATAAATGTGCAAACAAATATGAATTGGGTGGTATATATGTAATACCCCTAAAATTGAAACTAACAAATTGTTAATTTAAATTAAATTAATTAAATCAAGTTAAATTTAAATCAACTAAAACCTAATCTAATCATAAATATAAATTAAAATAAAATACAAATTAAACATGATTGAAATTAAAATTAAGATCAAACTTGAAAATTAATTTAAAACTAAACAAAACATTAAAAAAAGAGAAAGATTTACATATGAACCACTTAGCTCCTATATATTTACATATCTAGCACTTAAAACTCCTTTTTAACATATTTCTCCAGCCATAGAAGCTAGAAGAGTAGTGTAAGTGTAAAAATTTAAATTCTAAGGTATAGACATGTAAATACACAAAGAAAATAGTGGCATGTGTGTAAATCCCAAATCTAAACTCCATCCAAGTCAAAACTCAATGCCCTAAGCCCTTTTTAATTCCAACCACCCGATCTTGCGATTCCTCCCCCTCCACCCTCCCCTTTCCCTCCTACCCAAAGTCTTTCCTCGTAGCTGAAAGGAAACTCCACCAACCCAAAGGTCTCTCCTTTGCTCCATGCATGAACCACAAGCCTTCCCCTCTCTTCCATTCACTAGAGTTGCAGGGAGGAACCAAGGAACTTACTCCCTTCTTCAATCCAAAGCTAGTAGAACCAAGCCTAGCCATGAGGAATCGCAAGGTTCTCCCTCACATATTTGCAAGGTCAGCAAATCGAAGTCTTCTTCCTCTCTTATTTCCATGCACAAGCAAGAAGCCGAAAATCCCTCAAAGGCTGCTTTAATCCTTCATAAATCCTGTTCAAGCTACATGAAAAGGCGCCAGTAGTTGACTTGGATCATCCTTTTTTTAAAAAAATTATCAATTCATTTCTTATCATTTTTAGTAAGATGTAAGTGATATATATGTCCAAATAAATTGTTTGTGTGAAATGTGATGCATATCATGTGGATTCTATTGGGTGATCGCAATCACTTACATTAACACGAAGATTGTTTGCTTGCATGTGCTCTTATAACTTCATTTAACTTCATGCATATTGAAAATTTTTTTAACATATATGAGGTTATATTTAACTTGTTTAAACCCTCCTGATGTGTTTCCTAGAGGTTGTCCAAAATTTCTTCAAAGTGCAACCCACTATCTTGCTGAAATTTGCACAACTTTTTGTCTTACACCATTTGAAACACGCA